GTGACCAGCCGCACCATTCCCTGGACTAACTGTAAGTATGAAGTGAGGTCTGGGCTTCGTGAAGCAGTGCTGGATTTTTCCTAATGGGCCAGACACCGATAAGATTGTAAGCCTAAAAAGTACTTAGGCTTGGCTGGAGTGTACCCTATATGTGGGGTTGAGACTGTGATTTTAATGAGTGCATTGTAAACGTATCACACGGATTTCTGCTAATATACAGCATTAGTAGCAAGTGGCAATCTTAAATGATGTAGATAGTCCTGCTTCCTGTATGAAGGCTGGGGAGGGAGACTGGATTAATTAGTTTCTCCAGTCTGAGTATTTAAATTCTCACTGCTCTTCTTCTGTATAGGAATTCAAGGAGAGTTGTCAGTAATAATTTCTTGAGAGATTTTTAAAAACCTGTGTCTCCCTCCCTTATTAGTTTTAATCAAGAGTCACGGCTCCCTAAGCTTGCTTTGAAAATTATTACCTATCAGCAAGACGGAAGACCAACATATGAGCTATTGACAGCAAAAGAGGAGAAGTTCTTCATGATAGCTAGCTGTTGAGACAAGAGTCCCTTGTTTTGTTTTGTTTTATCCATCTACCTGAAATGAAGTTCTTAAATAAAGCAACAATAGTCGAACTCTATGATGGCATTCGCTTTGTTCTACAGGCAGAGGCTCTGATCCAAGGATTTGTGGGCGTTCCTAAGGGGCGTGTAATGCCAAGAGATCTGCAACTGATCTTCCCACATGATTTTATTACATACAGGCGCAAATATTCTAACTTTATGTTTCTCGCCTGTGACAAATAGCAGCATGGTCAGCACAGGGCAATTAATTAATCAATAATTTTAAAAGAATGAACCTGGCATTCATTTGGCAAGCTGAAATCTACGTGGAAGGACCAACAGCTCTTAGCTCCATTAGTATGTCAAGGTTAGGCCACAGCATCAAAAATAATACAGACCACAAACATCATATATTTTAGCGTACTCAAGGAAAATAAAAGGTATCAGACAGCATGTTCACATGCACAATCAATAGCATATTGATTTCGATAACTTTCCCTTATCCTTGCAGCCTGACGAGCAAACCTGGCAACAACCCTTCTAATCTATTTTTGATTTCCTTAATTTTAATTAAGAGCAACAACAAATGAACATACCAGTAGGTTTGCCCACAGTCGGCCGAGGTTTCCTGAGCATAGCTTCCTGACCTCATTTACAAAATGGTACATGGGGGTGATGCTCTTCCATTTCAACACAAACCCATAGCCATTTTTCATAACTAATATTACTCAGTCCCCTGATAAAATGGCACAGTTGTAATGGACTGCGATCTCAAATATGTAAAAGCATGTCTCAGCATCCGTTTGGGGAGTGATGCTAAGCAATCTGGCCTACACCTTTCCATTCACTGAATCTATATGGAGTATTTCATTTTAGTGCCACATCAGAGCCGAAGAGTCCTAAGTCTATCAAGTGTTAACTAGAGTTTTACACAAATGGTCCCTTAAAATTCTCCACTCTGTTTATGAGCAGAGAAATTGGGGGGGGGGGGGCTTTCACTACATTTCTCCAACAGTTTCTCAAAGATTCCTCACCATTAGTAGTTGCAATAGCACAATATCCCCCCCCCTTAATGCTATTGCAAGTGGCAGTAGCAGCAACTGTGTTGGCATCTTGGCCACCATTTTGTATCCTCCACAATGCTTCAGACACAGAGTTGTTCTGGGGCATTGTGAGAGGAAAATGGTGGCTACTACGAAAAATGGTGGAGAACATTTGGGAGGAATTTTTTGGCCCTTTTCTAGGAGGTTGACTAAGATTTTTCTAGGAGGTTGCTCTGCTGCTTGAGTTTTATATGACACAAAAATATCATCCATGTTTTTATTGAATTGAATTTTGTTTAGCCTTCTTCTCAGAAGGGAAAATATTCAGAGGTTGAACTGTTTGGCATGGGAAGAACAAAGCAGAGTAACTCAGATATTGGAAGCTTATAGTCTCAATTTATAGGCCCGTGCCATCAAACAACTATTGATGCTTGAGAGTTTCCAATTGCTGGTAATGGACTGCGGGGTGGGTGGGTGAGGGATAATGTGTTTGATCGATCAGCATGGACAAATTTCATTTAGAGGATCAATAACAGTTTATACTTGACAGAGCTGAGGGAGCACATTTATTTTTCCCTTGGATTGAATAAATGTTTTCAATGGGACCACAAATATAAAGCAAATCTAACCGTTTCTTAACTTGAGGCAGATATGTGTTATTGCAAGCAATGTGTATTTAAAACTAATATACAGGGCAATGGATAGCCAGAGGCTGAAGTTGCTGAACGAAATGAATGTATAGTTTATTAAAATGGAACATATGGCAAGTAGACGGGTTTGTTTTCCTAGCTGCGTGAAATCCATAACAGAAGCAATCATTTTTCTTAAAAGCACAGTTGTTTGTTTGTTTGTGTATGTGTGTGTGTAGTGTGATGTATTAAGGCTAAATCAGCAAAACCTTTTTTTTAAAAAAAAATCATGAAATGTAAGAGCCCAACTTAGCTGTCATAGTTCCATCAAAATATGATAATGGCTTATTGCATTACATTCTGACAGTATACTGTACAAAGTTGTCAGTGCTTAAGAACTACAAGCTAAGTAGCCGTTGATGCAAATTGCATGCTCACCATCAAGCTTTGCAGTAATTACAATCATCTAGTGCATACCAGATTTTTTTTTAAGGGATAGGAGCACAACCAGATATATATCTGTGTGTGTGTGTGTGTGTGTGTGTGTGTGTGTGTGATATAACCCAAACAATGTGCACACAATCTGCGAAGAGCATGGCCCCGTTGCTTCCAAACAGGCCAGTAGGTGCAAAGGGCAAATGGGGTTTCTAAGGTCAATTCTCAAGACCAAAGTAGTATGTTGAAATGTGAGTGTGACTTACACTGGGATGAGTTGGAGACATTTATTTCACCCTGAATCCAAAACCATACCTTTTGCAATGTGTCCACATTTTACTGGTGCACAGTGGGAAGGCTTAGGCAGTAAAAACTAGACACACCATTCATGTGCAATTGCTGCAGTGCCTGTTTTGGAGGCAGCTTGTTATGGAGATGTTTGTAAGCAGGTGTCATGGGCCAGGAGTTGGCTTCACTTGCTGAGCAGCAGCCTGAAGGAGCAGAAGGCGAAGTGACTCCACCTACTGCTGATCGACCTTCTTGCTCCTGATGAGAACCAGCTGACTCCAGCTTTCTTAAGCAGGGTTTCCAGCCTCTGTCAGTTTCTGGAAACAACATCCGTCGTTCCTGACCAGACCGTTCTGCTTCTTGCTTCTCATGGCCTTGGACCCTCGGTTTCTTGACCCCCCGGATTGTCTGACTATGTGAACTGAGATACTCCTGACCTTAGGCCTGGACTGGACCTTGTTTATGTACTCTGACTCTAGGCAAGTACTCCCCCTGAGACTTGGCTGGTTGGCAGGCTTCTCCTTGCACTGAGCTCTGCTGTGGTTGGCAGCACAGGACCACAGCAGTGGGTTTATCACTCAACCTCTAAGAGGATTTCTAAACACACCAAGGGATAACTCAGATATGTCTGCACTAATAACTGGCATTATGCAAAAACTAGCAACCCATTCCCCTCAAGCTTTTGATATGAGTTAGTCCTCACCCTCCCCAAAGCCCCAGAAATCTCCATTGATGTTGCATTACATGTGTGTGGCATTTTTTACATACATTTCCCTATGGAGCAATCTGTTGTACTGCGTGCAGCTAAGAAACGGGAGTGTTGCGGTTTGGTAGTGCAGGGCATATGCAATGAGTCGGAAGTCTTTGGTTCACATATCGCCTCAAGTGGTCTTGTGTCCTCCTTGGAAAAGGAGGACCCTCCATTGTCAGCCCAAGCTTACGGAGGAAGAGCAGGAGTCTTGAAGTTGTCCATCAACAGTCAGCATTTGGACAGCAGACTGAAAAGTCACTCAGATCACAGCGGATGTGCAGGGCATTTTTTCAGCCAGAACTCAGTTCTGGCATCTCCCAGGTGGGCACCATTGCCACTATAAGAGAACAAGGGAGGTGTTCATGGTGAGTTCCAGCACCTCTTGTTCTAGAAAAATAGCTCTGGGGATATGTATTTTTATTTAGACAATAGTAACTATTTCTCAATCTGCAGCTATACCTAAAATCTAGCATATGAAGCATTTCCTATTCTTTTTGTTGTTGCTGTTGCAAATTAGAAGTGGCTGCCCAAATTTCACTTCAGCTATGAGCTCCATAGGTGGCCTGTGGCAAGTTACAGCCTCTCAGCCTGTCCCAACCTTATCATCTGTAACATGGGACTGACAAGTTGGGCCCAACTTATAGGGTCACTGTGAAGATTGCCAAGATAATATATGGAAAGTGCTTTGAGCGAGCACCAAAAGCCTAAATAAACACGAAGCCCTATTCTTAGCATGGTAGGCAGCCCTGTTCTTTAAACTCGCTGAGCTTCAGCAGTGAGAAGTCAGTTACAATAAAGGACATTGTGTAGGCCACTGGCTATCTCAGGCACACTTTCTTTCAAAAGAAACAACAAGAATGGTTTAAAATGCATATTGTCTGTGCATGTTTCAGTAACCAAAATGCCAGCTATGCCTGCCTTAGGGCTGCTTGTATGTCAAATGATTAAGTCTTCAAGACTCATAACCACAGGGTCATTATCAATGGTACTTCTAGGTCATTGTGCGCTCTACACCGTTTGAGGCAATGGTTGACCTTTTGACAACACTGCTGGGTAACATGGTTTCTGAGGGCATAAATAATCATTGTTAATTTGTTATGTGAGGGGCTGTTTTGTTTTTACAAAATGTGTGCATATTATAAGACTATGTGACTTAAGGATACTCAATTAGGAAAGCAAAACAGTTTCGCTTGGATTTCTGTCTTTCTCCCCAGTGACTTTTAAAGTCGGAGGAAGGATGGGGAGGGGGCTATATATGCCAACCATAATAGTCTAAAAGATAAAATTAGACCCATATGCTAGGGAAGGGCCATAGCTTGGCGGTAGACCACCTGCTTTTCATGCAGAAGGTCCCAGGTTCAATCCCCGGCATCTCTAGGTAGGGCTGGAAAAGACGCCTTCCTGAAACCCTGGAGATCTGCCGCTAGGCAGTGCAGGGACACTAAGCAAGATGGTCTGATTTGGTATAAGGCAGATTCCTATGTTCCTATATCGTATCACAATATAACAGAAAAGCTACCCAGGATAGCTAACCTGTGGCCTTCTGCTGCCCTGCCACTTCCATCAGCCTTCACTAACTTGACCAATGGTCAGGGATGATGGGAGCAACAACCGGAGGGACACAAGTTATTCATTCCCACTTTAGACCAATGGATATCAGAGGGACCGATTTCACGGCATGAACCTGAAACTGCATAGTTTACTCTTTCAGTACATTGCCTTGATTTCCAAGAGTGTAATTAAGAGTAAGTGGTTAGAAGGTTTTGGTATCTGATATGTGGAGGTCCGGAAAATAGGAAGCTGCCTTACCACAAATCAAACTATTTGTCCATCTAGATCAGCATTCTAAATCATAGGGGTTTATTCTGAGACTTTCAGGGATCTTTCTGATTACCTGGTCATTTGATTCTTCATTACAATTCCATAAGTGTTAGGGTTTTAACTAGTCTTTTTTTTCTGGGGGTACGCATACCCCTAAACATTTTGTGAATCTTTGTATTTTTCTCCATTTACTGTATTTATTTCCCCCCCAATTTGAACTATAAAATGGTGATTTTCTTGAGTCAGAATGAGAGTACCCCTAAACATTTTTAAAGAAAAAAAAGCACTGGTTTTAACATTCACTTTGATTAACAGCCTGTTCCTTTCTTTCTTTACCAAGAGCCCAGACTCTCCCTTTATAAGCAACTAATTCATTGTGGAAGCTTATTTAACTACTTGTTTTCCTTGTTTTCTTGGGGAAGGGAGTGGGGCGTGGGAAGAGAAGGACCGCACCCTACAATTTTTTTAAAGTTCATGCTACAAATTTGCAAGAGAAATTTTGAGACAGAACTGGCCACACATTGTTTGAAAACTGTATACTTCAAGTAAGGAATGCAGCAAATCAGCTTGCCAAGGGCCTAGCTGCTGCTGCTGCTGCTGCTGCTGAGATACTGTTTCACACTATTAATTAAAATACGAGTCAGTTCTTCCTCCCTCCCCCCCTCTCCAGCACTTGTAGCCTGTGGGTATCCAATGCACTCCACTTGATTGAGTCAGGTGGCGACGGCAGCAGCAGAAGCAGCACAAGCATTTGTGATTCTGTGTGCTTGGAGTGATGGCATGGGAAGGCAGTGAGAAGAGGAGGGATGTAAAGCCGTTTTCTGTTCTCTCTTATATCAAGACAAATGTGCTGCAATGCTCAGACTGCAAAAAAGAAGAAGAAGAAGACTACAAGAGATCTACCCTTAAAACCTTTCCTCTGTGATTTAAACAAGGGGGTCCAACTCCTCCGAAACTCTGAGTCTTGTAGCGTACTCAGATCTTTGTATGGCCAAGGCAACTGTTTCCATGGTGATGCAAAGCATTTGACAATGGTCACTGTTTTGGTGAAGCAAATTAGTCCATGCAGGAGACCTGTATTTAGTAATAAGGTGGGATACCCCCCCCCTTTCCTGGGAAGGCGAGGCATCAAGGAACATGGGTGGGGAAAAAGAAATTTCATTATTCAGTGCAAAGCAAGTCATATTCAAGCACACCAAAAAAACCAACAGCAGCAACAGGGGAATGGAATTAAATATGTTATAGTTGGCAGTACAGCCAAATCATGAAATATATGTTTAAAATCAGAAAGCTTGGAAATCAAATTTCACTAGTCTCAGGTAAAAGTCCTGGTTTATGCAAAGTACTTGGATTTCTTTTCTGTCAAAAATGTCTGGGTAGGATTTTGTACCTTCCGTTCCCAAGTGCAGAAAAATCAGCCATATTGTTAAACAGCAGCACTTCCTGGATCCAGCAATGGATATAGCCTTACACTTACACCCACCCACCCACCCCCCTGAAATGGCTACGGATGGCATCTGGGGAGATGGACATTCTATGCACATCTCACTACCCACCTAAGCCTCACTAAACTGATGCTATACAGTGGTACCTTGGGTTAAGTACTTAATTCGTTCCGGAGGTCCGTTCTTAACCTGAAACCATTCTTAACCTGAGGTACCACTTTAGCTAATGGGGCCTCCCACTGCCGCCACATGATTTCAGTTCTCATCCTGAGATAAAGTTCTTAACCCAAGGTACTACTTCCAGATTAGCAATGTCTGTAACCCAAAGTGTTTGTAACCCGAGGTGTTTGTAAGCTGAGGTACCACTGTATGTCCTTTAATGCATTTTGGTATGCATATCCTTATGCAGAAGTATTAGCTTGGTTGTTTATTTAATTCTTTCTACCGAAAAAGCCTTCAGCAACTAGCTGCCTACTGCTAGGATCAATGACTAGTAATTGCAGCTCATTGGCTTTGAAGGGACTAATAAATCTAAACATTTCAATTTTCATTCAGAGATATAGCCAAAGAATGAGGGCTGGTTCAAACATTACATACTAGCAGCACCACACCCAGCGTTGCTCTGGAATTCTAAGAAACAAACAAAGTGCAGTTTGGAAATCAATGTTTAAAATCAATGTGGTTTTGAAAGGTTCTGTCCATCGCCCCGATTCAAACTGGTATCCAATTGCATCCATACACACATGGGAGCCAGCTCCTCAAACTTCGGACACATTATTTAGAATTTAGTTAGAATTTATCTTTAGGAAGTGTCCCAACTGCATCACAGGTAAACAACCTTCCAAAATATGTCGCAGATTTTGTACACAGGAGAAATTTAACTGAAGGACAAAATCTGATTCAGATGTAGACTGATACACGGAACAAACACACATGTTTTCTGTGTGACAGTGCATGTGGGGATACTGCCACCCACTGCAGCTTCTCAAATCTTGCATATCACTTGCTGTTGTGTTATTGCTACATATTATGATCTATGTGTTAGTTTGTTTCATTCTTTGTTGGATGCAGAAGTTGCTTCAGTAAAAAAATAAAAAATAAAATGCAACATTTGAAACAGCAAGAAATCACTCCCATTTAATATAAACTGCTCTGGAGCAAACTGAATCCCGGGTAATAATATTTAAACTTCGGTTGTCTTCTCTGCCATTGCCTGTTTTACATCAAAATATGATCTTCTGAGATTTGCAGTTCCAATCATTATCCAAATGCCTTGGGGACATAAAAGTAGATAATCAGAATTTCAAATAAATCGAAGGTCTATTTACATAGGCTTGTAGAGGCAATGAGCTATGTGAAATACACAATAGATTCAGATTGTTGCTGTAACTAGTATTTTATATAGTTCACTCACATTCCTAACAAACAACAATTCTGCCATTGTTCCGGATTACCTGTTCTATTCCTGATCAGGAAATTACTACTCCTATCATATTGGTATCCCTGGCGACACAGTCACATTTTTGAAGGAATATATTTCTGTATATCAGCGAGCCCTCGCCCTGAGATCAGCGGGGGAGGTCTGTTTCACTGCCTCTCTGGCAAATGTAGCCCCTTGTGCAGTGATACAGAATAGGACCTTCTTGGTAGTGGCACCCAAAAGAAACCCTATCTTTCCACCCAGGCTTTTGGAAGAAATTGATTGTTCAAGCTCAGGGTAATTATGATGTCTGCTACAGTACTTATATGATGGTGTAATGTTTCTTTTTAAAAATGATTGTTGTTTATGATTATTACTAGCCTTGATGACTAAGTTTTACATCCACTGTCATAGGTAGTATGTCCATGAATACCATTTGCTTGGAATTGCAAGTAGGAAGAGTGCAGTTGCACTCAGATCTTGCTTGTGAGCATCCCATAGACATCTAGTTGGCTATGGTGAGAACAGGATACTGGACTAGGTGGGCCACTGGTTTAATCCAGTGAGGTTCTTATGACATTCCTAAGGTCTTCTTTATGATTACTCAATTATTCTTTTTTCAGATATACCCTAAAACTGTATTGTTTTTACAAATATGCTCCAAGCAGTCCTAAAGGTAAAGGTAAAGGTACCTCTAACCGTTAGGTCCAGTCACAGACGACTCTGGGGTTGCGGTGCTCATCTCGCTTTACAGGCTGAGGGAGCCGGTGTTCGTCCACAGACAGTTTTCCCGAGTCATGTGGCCAGCATGACTAAGCCGCTTCTGGCACAACGGAACACCGAAACCAGAGCAGTGCATGAAAATGCTGTTTACCTTCCTGCCAGAGTGGTACCTATTTATCTACTTGCACTTTTTGGCGTGCTTTCAAACTGCTAGGTTGGCAGGAGCTGGGCCCGAGCAACAGGAGCTCACTCCATCGTGTGGATTCAAACCGCCGACCTTCTGATCAGCAAGCCCAAGAGGTTCAGTGGTTTAGACCACAGCGCCACCCACGTCCCTCCAAGAAGTCCTAAGATGGTTTAAAAATAGAACAAATAATGATGATGATTATTATTTTTGCAAAGCATCAGTAGTTTGATTTCAACTAGTGTGAGACAGACAGGAATACTGCTTATATACAGGAGTCAGGACTTACTCTTTCTATATGAATAAAATGAATTAGTCAATCAGTCAGTGACAAAAACATCCTATGCAATCAAAAGATTTTTCATGTTAAGATTAATTTAGTGTAATGCAAGCTTAAATATTGCATAAGCCCCCTTGACATTGAAATATACGGCTCGGAGGCAAGACTGGAGCAAATACTGCCAGCCACTAAAAAGCTGGACAGAAAGGATAATGGAACACATTATCACATTCTTCTCTCATTCTTTGTGTGGCAGCTGATAATAAGGGAGGTGGGAGGAGACGAGGAGGGAGGAAAGTTAAGCTGTCAAAGACCTTCCGATTTTAAAGCTGTTTCTGCACCAAGTGAACTGCAGGAATAACTCTGCTAGACCCAACTACTCATACTGTCATCATTTTATGAAGAAGGAGCACGTGAAATATTGTAGTGCTTGGCAAGGGCCCTTATTCCTCAGATATTCTGTGGAGGTTTGCAATGGAGAGCTTAAGGTATTTTCACACATCATG